AAAAAAAAAAAAAAAAAAAAAGGTGTCCCTCCTCCCAAGCAGAGGTTCAATTTGCAATCTCTCCAAAAAGACTTGTTGCCAACACACCAAATATTTACACTTACACCAGTATGAATTGCAACATATGCATAACAAGGAATGTTAGGTTTCCTAAATTCATCAACTTAAAAAAAAAAACAAAACAACTTCCACTTCCCCCTCCTAATCATTTACAGGTCTATGCCCTTGGGATTACGGTTCACTTCTCTCCCAGCCTTACTGGCTAGAGAGACTAAATGAAATCCTGACATACAGCAGCAACTGGAGTTAAACAGACATTATTTGGGCATATCATTCTAGTCAAGCAGCAGGGTACCACAGCCCCAACCATTACGATGCCTGTCGAGATTATAACAAACGTGCTGCGCTACATTTTTGCGTCTGAAGAATTAAAATCGCAACCATTTTAACACCTCTCCCTCGAGGGGAACAGTACTGTGAGACATCAGTCACAGCCAGAACTGCTGTTAAATACTCTGGTAATTCGAAAGAAAAGTAAGCATGCAGCACCTTTGAGATGGTGGTGTTTGGGGATACCGGACTCAGACGGGGCCAAGCCATCCTCAGGTTGATATGATTTATCCTCGGGTAGGGACTGTTTCAGTGTAATGCCCAAAATTTAACTCCTTTTTGTTCCTCTTCTGAAACTGTTGCACTAATTAAATAATGAGCTAGTATCAAAAAAGTGCTAAATCACAATTGAATATACTTTAAAAAAAAAACCCCAACCCTTCAGGGCATAACTGCATTTAAAGACAAGACCGGTGCACAAGAGGCTGGAGCAGGGAGCTGTCTCCAGGTATTCAGTGCGTAAATGGGAAGAAATTGTGTCCTTGCCATAGAAATGTCAAGTATTGCAACGCAACAGTTCTCTGTAGGGGAAGCAAGCTTTGTACCATCGGTAATACTTGGCCACAACCACTCCGGCGTGACAGATCCTTTGCAGACTCTTTTCCTTAAGTTATTTCCACTTGCTACAAAAGCGTAGGGTAGCTTTGAAAACAAAGGATGCAGACTTACCCTGCAAGGCTTCTCACACTGGAGGAAGTTATTTCCAAGAATTTGGCGTTCTCTACTGTTCACCCAGAATTGAAGCAAATTTAAGTACCGTTAGAGATGCGCACACCACTCCCACTGCTAAGACTTTCTACTGTACTCCTCGCCAGACTGCGTAGATTCTCAGTAAATAAAGAGATTTTTTTTTTCCCCCCCTCACCAAAAAACTGCAGTGCTACATTTAAACCGTGAACTGGATTTGCTCTGTATCATTTCACACATTAAAGAAGAAACGGGTCGAAAGACGTTTGTCTCAAACTAGAAAAGGTGACATCGCTCTCGGCCTCGGAAGTCTCAACTTTCCTTTGCTAGAAATGGAGAGAGCTGCTTCTCTCAGCTGGTGGCTGGGATCCCTTTCCCCCCTCTGCTTTGGGAGCCCTCACTGAGCAGCCATGCACCCACTCCGAGGCAGACACCCGTGCCAGATGGAGATGATCTTCGTGTCAGCAGGCCACTGCTTCTTAGGTCTCTGCCCCGTTACTACATTTCCGTGGTAGGAGACAGCTGCCCGGAGATCAGCTTTTCAGAGGCAAACAGAAAGGAAGATAATGGAATGAATGATTTCCGAGTCATACAAAAACAAGTGCTGGGAAAGACGAGGCATACGGCCAGGAGGTGAGACACAACCGTGAGGGTTATGGACACACAGCGGAAGCTTTGTAGTTCAGGCAGGGCTGCCTGTGACCCCAGCTGGGTTTGGATGGTCACCCTTAGAAAGGCACATGCTCTAGTGACCCGGTTTTAGGAGGTGCTGAGGAACCTGCCCTTCCCAGCTGAAAGCAGGGGGAGATGCAAGAGCTCAGACCCTCTAAAGCCAGGCGTACGTGTGGGCAACTGCATGCCAAATGCTTACACATAGAAACTGCACTACCATCGCCATCATGAATTCAGTTTCTCTTTGAAGGGTATAGAAACCCTCGGGGCACTCTTACAGCTTGGAAAGAAGTTGATCAAACCCAAACCCAACCTCTCGGAGCACCTCAGACACGGCAATGTTCTGTCATCCACAGTGCTCCGGCCGGCAGGACGGCACTGCAGCACCGGGCAACTGCAGCGCGACCTCTGCTTCGGGGGTCTTTAGGCAGAGGAGCGCTGGCTCGACATTAAGGGGCTCCATGGCATGTGAAATATATGTACGAGACTGAGCTTTCCTTTTATTTTTTTTTTTTTCGCTTTAAGACAATCCTCTGAGTCTTCTCACTTGGGTTCTTACTAGCCTGGCCCTTATTTTGAAGTCAGTTTGCCGCTCAGTGCCATTAAGCCACAAATGACTTGGGAGATCAAACTCATTGCTGAGAAAGAGCTAAATAAAGATTTTGAAACATCAGATTTCACCACAAGTCTGGGGAAACACAAGCTGTCAGGCAACAGCTCTGAAGCCCCGGCAAAACTCGGACAAGCTTGTTCTAGCCCCTGAACACCAGGTGTATAAATAACCCAGGGCTGCTGTTCTGACCGCTCCCCACTGATGCCAACTGGTGATCGCAAAGGGAGATTTGGGGTAAATTCTAAGAGCTATTTTGCAAATGGAGCTTTACTGGAGATCTGAGTGCATCCTCTTCCCCGTTTAAGATGTCCACCCAGACATCTCATGCAGAGATGCGCAGGTAGCTGTCGTCCACCTCTCTTCACGACTCTCTAACACAGACCCGCTCTCACCACCGGCTCTCCAAAACTGGGCTGCGAGGGGATTTTGCCAAGATGCGAAACCCACGGTGAGTTCAGACACTCACATCAAGAGGCACAGCAGCGAGCTTTGTGCAGCCCAACTACCGCACGGCTGCAGCCCCTCTTCCCCGGGAAAGGTGCGACAGCCGCTGCCTGCGAGGAGCTGGTCGGGGTCCAAGAGGCAGCTTTGCTACGAGGCCGTCTGCGCGAGTTAAGTACTTCATCTGCCAGGAGAGCGAGGCTGAGCGTCGGGGGTTTGCTGCCACGGCGTGAAAGTTGCAGCACCTTTCGCTAAAGGGTCTTAAAACTGCTCTGCAAATGGAGCGAGCCTTACACCTCCCGAGAGGTAGGCAAGTACGTCCCCATCCCGTACACGGGGAAACTGAGGCAAAGAGAGGCGAAGTTGCTTGGACGCACAGCAAGTCAGGGAGAAGCAGCACCGGGGCAGGAGTCCTGCCTCCCAGCGCTGTTATTCGACAGATCATACTCCTCCTCCTCCTCCTCCTCAGTTTCATCTCAGCGAGCTTTGCAAACGCAAGCGAAGGAACCAGGGTTAGGACCACGGACGGCTCGCTGGGGCTTTCACAGGGTGGTGAACTGCTGCATGGCATTCCCAGACCTGTCCCAGCTCTGCTCCGACCTGTGCCAAGTGCCCTGCAGTCTCATGCAAATGATTCCCAGTCATATTCTGGAATTAAAAGCTGCTTCTGCTGAGATACACAGAAACGGGGACATTTTCCCAGAGGAAAAACATGCGCACTTGAGAAACAGCCAGAAAAGGCAGAGGTGCCCACTGACGCAGGGTCACCTCTAAGTGAAATCCTCGCTCTCAAGGACGGAAGGCGACAGATGTTTCAAGATCCCTATAGCCCTCATTGTGCAATGGTTTGTAGACTGGAAACTTTGGGATCGGCAGCAGACTGATTTCAATCACATCTCTCCCTTTGGCAAAAAAAGCACACCTGCAGTAAGCCTGCTGAACACAGCAGAGCTCCGTCTGCTTTATCAGCCCTCTAAAGGTACCCAGCCCCTCTCAAACACCTTTCCTTCCCAACATGGGGCTAACAACATCTGCCTTTAAAAGCTTCGCCTCTTTACAATCTGCCAAGTGAGAACTACGCCCACAGCTCACGAGAAATTTGGTGAGTGTAAACAGAAGGACTACGGGGGGGGGAAAAAATCCTACAAGGGACTGAAATGCATGCAAGCAAAACGGCACCTCATCTCACCCCCTGAGAGGGGACAAAGCTCACAGTGGGAACGATCGCAGCCGGCCCAAACCAGCGCTCCCATCAGAGCAGGTTTTCTGCTCCAGGCTTCGAGGGGAGAGATTGTGGGCAAGGGTCCCCGCGAGGAAACCTAGTGAACGTGTGTTATTTGCAGACAGCATCACAGTGGTTAGTGTCAATTCGAATGGCAGGTAAGAAGAGGGGTGAGTTCACTGGAACAGTACGCAGCCGTGGCTCAGTCGGGAAGAAGAGGATCTAGGAGGAGGGAGTGCGTGCACCGCGGAGACAAGAGGTCTCCATCAGTCCAAGGATAAGAAGGTGAAATAGAAAAAAAGGCCTGGGGAGTGTCACGTTGCCCCAGGGATTCACAGTGCCAGAGCGAGGGGAAAGACGTGAAAACAGCAGGCGGCTTCCTGGATCCACACCTCCGATTCCCCCAGCCTGCATCCCTCTGCACCTCCCACCTCACAGATATCTAACAGCGTGTTACCCTTGTTTCCGAGTAAGGAGAATTCACAGTGTTCAGTAGTGATCAGGTACAAAAGCCGTTTAAGTCTACAGTCTCCTAAGTGCTGCTGCCTTTGACGTAGTGCCTACGCGGGGCTCAGTGCGAGCAGCTGGAGGAAGAGGCAGTTTAGAACAGCAGACAGATCAGATCGCAAAGGCACGGTTAGACTAGGTGGACACGGGGTGTGTTTGCTTTAGAAGATAGTGGTCTCATACTTAGTGCTGAGGGTCCGCTTGGAGTCCTGTTTGGGGTCCACGACCCAGGAGACACTGGCATGAGACTGGGAGTCTTGGTCCACTTCGGGGGGCTCCAGCTAGAAAATAAGGAAAGAAAGGGCATGTTAGGTCACCACCCGTGCTCCTGGGACAGAACGAGTGGGGATTCAAAGCACGGAGACGCTGCTGCTCTGCCTAATGCCCATCCCAAAAATGTGCACATGTGCGGGGAAGCAGCTCTTGCTGGGGAGGCATTCGAGTCCTTCACAGCTAAAACATGTCTAGCCACGTCAGTCTCAACCCAGCACCCTGAGATGACTTCCTGAGTTAGGCCTGCAAGCCCCTATTACCATTAGTGACAGCTTCGCTTCATCTCACAAACAAGCATGAAAAATTCAGCGCTATAAAGGTGGCACTATAAAAAAAGGAGGCAAAGGGAGAGAGAGGGAGACGGCTCCTGGCAGGTGAGCTCCCACATGATTTACTCTCCTGACCAAGCAAGGCTCTTTCATCTTGTCCTCCTAAATCAGGATCCTACAGGAAGGTTAACACCACCAGAAAGAGCAACGCCGTTAGTTGAGAGCTGCCACTCTACATCAGCGGGGACGGATATGAGCGGTTTGTCCCCGGGGTTCATCTGAGCCCATGGCACGGCCCTGGAACGAGCAGGGAGGGAAGACAGCAGCGAGGCAGGACACGGGACCACAGCAGGAGACGCGGGAAGCGGGGAGGCAGGCGGGCCAGTGGCGGCTGGGGCGGCCCGGGTCGGTTCGTAATGGAAGATGGCAGGAAGAAGGGTAAAGACCTTAGCTCCGGGACTAACAGACTGCAGCGGCAGGTAGGAGGGGCGGTGTGTTGTACAGGTGTGACAGTAACAACAGCGAGTGTCGGGAGGGAGCGGCACCTGAGCGGGGGGAGCAAGCAGAACACAGACAAAAGGAGACATTAAAGGAAGGCAACGGCTTGTGCAGCAGTCTCTGCTCCTCAGCAGGTCCAGTCTTCGCTGGTTTTGGCTACAGGGGCACTCCCGTACTGCGAACTGCAGGTTACCTACTGGTCTTACTGCGGCTCTGCAAGGTTTGCACACGGAAGCTGTGCTAGACCCAGCAGGGCACTTGAGCCCCATCCCACCCGGGCTATTTCCACCTCTGCTTGCCCTCATCCTACCAGGGGAAGACCTAACACTGCAGCAGGACTGCCAGCAGAGCCACGGACACTGCAATATCAGCCGTGCTTGAAGCTACAGGCACCGTGTCCGCATCTGGGCTCCCCCCACCACGAAGGGGGAGGTTTAAGCATGTGGTGCTCAAGAGAAATCCCAGCTCAGACCATGCAGATTGCACCCGGCAGCCTGCCGGCCCGCACATACGTACTGCAGATTTCCTCATGCCGGCTCGCGGTTTAGGCACCGGTTTGGAAGATTTTGTTTCGATCATTTCTCCTGCTGCAGCACCCAGGGGCTTCGCCCTCTGGGCTTGGAGGGCCAGCTGGTAGGCGACCTCGAACGCCTGCCCCAACGTGAGGATGATCTCGTACGTCAGGTTCTTCGGAGAGACCACAGAAAACACAAAGCCGTTAGGTGCCTACGAGCTACCTTGCCCTGTGCAGAGTCCATGCGCTCAGCGGCTTGCCCTGGAGACGCAGACCTCGGCAGAGCACATCGCCTTTCCATTAGCGGGTCACATCCTGACGTATCCCTGGCAAAGCCGCTCTGCACACATGGGGCAGCGCTGAGCTCCTGCCCCGCAGGGGAGCTGGCATGAAGCCGCCTCCACGCTCGCGCAGCCCCGGCTGGTGAGACCACCTGCGAGCCTGCTACAGCCCCGTAAGCATCGCAGTTTACCAGCGTTTTGCATTGTAAAGAGAAAAAGCCCAAACGTCTTGTACAGCCGATTCTGCCCAAGAATAAAAGCAAGTTATGCTTCCACACTCTCGGTGAATTAAAAGGCTGTTAAATCAGCCTATTACGCTCAACATAATTGAGAGCGTATTAGGGTTTTGTTCACGGCATATTCCTCAGGAGGGAAAAACTCCTGCCCCGCTTTATTCAACACTGGAGACTGCAGTAATGAAGCCAGACAAATGTTCTCTTTGTCAACAGAGCTCCAGAGCATTTTGAGCCAGGACTCCGAAAGGAATATTTTAGGGTAGAAACAGGTAAAAGAGCCCTAGAAGGGACCAGATCCTGTTCTATGACTTGCCAAATAAAGCTGAGTGATGAAATAAGTGGACTGCAAAGGACTGCAGCGTGCTGGGAGACGAGATGCGATAACCCACTCACCACATCCACGGTGCTGAAGACGTGGCAGTAGTGGTGGCTGGTCTGCAGGTCCTTGGTGATGTAGGCGAACGTGCAGAGATCCTCAGGGTCCTGAGCAGCGCAGGAGATGTTCCGGATCTCGTGCTCAGCAATGACATTCTGCCGGGGTCAAGCACAAGCACCCGTCACCCTTCCGGGGATGGCAAATACACCCGGCAAACGGTGGCCATGGCACGCGTGTACTGGGGACAGGGAGCAAAACAGGTACTGGCAGGGAGGGGGGTCTCCCAGCCAGACCAGTCCTAGCTCCCTCCCACGGGAGGAATAAACGGCAACATGGTCCACAAGGAGCCAGTCTGCCAAGCCTTCGGCATTCAGATAACCATCACCACCTTGGTGCTCTCCTGTAGTCCTGAGGCTCCTCAGGATCAGCCGTGGCTTCTGGAGCCACTAGATATGACCTGCAGGCCCCCAGGCAGGTGGGACTGCAGGTCCTGTCCCTCCAGACACCAGCTTTGAGGCACTGGAAGCTCACCTTGTTAGAGGCATCGATGAACTTCACCCCCTTGTACGTGATGGACAGTATTATGGTCGGGATCTTCTTCATATGCTCTGTGGATTTCTTCAGAAACAAGAACATTCAAGTGACTAAGCTGTGAATAAATGCTCCCTTCCTCACCCCCTCCCCAGCCCACTGCCCCACAAAGGCAGGCCTTGGGGGTCTTGGACCAGGACGAGGAAAGCCTGCTCTTGGTGGAAGCAGAGGAACGGGGATCTGAAGCGAACCCAGCACCCCTTTCTCCAGTGAAAACACCCATTCTCCCACTGCACAGACCTTCCCACTATGGGGAAAAGTGCTGGGGAGGGGCAGCTCACCAGCAACAGTGGCACAGCCTGTTAGGTGGTCTGGGTCCCTGCTCTGCACGGGGGGCAGCCTGCAGGGTTTGGGGAACCATAGCTTCACCAAGATCCCCCCATCCCCCTCCTCCACATCATCCACCACCGGGTGTGAGTGAATCCCCCCCTGTCCCCGTGGCCTCCGTACCCTCATCTTGGCACAGGCGTCCTGCGTAGACTCCGTCCCTCGGAGGTCTTTGATCAACATGGAGCCCAAGTACTGTTTGGAAGAGGAGGAGATGTTAATGTGCTCCCAGACATCCTAAAGGCTTCAGGCAGGACACCCTGCCAACCCCAAGGCAATGCCATGGCCCCGTGAGCAGCCAGCAGCCGTGGCTGGGGAGGGACAGGTCACCCAGAGAGGGGGAGGAAGCGTGACAACTCCACACGCAACAACCTGACCCCAGAGCCTCCTCACCCTCGCAACCTCCACAAGCCAGAAGCCACTTACGTTGGCCTCATACCCGCAGGACTCGAAGATGAGCTTCTCCGGCTGGTGCTGCCAGTTTTGGACTGGGGCGTACGGGGCAGCCAGGCTGGGGGGGCGCAGGGTCAGCTTTGACTCCCGGCGGTCCTCCTGGAAGGGAAGAAACATGGATGTGAAGCCACAACAGGTCCAACCTGGGTTGGAACACACATACCAGGAGGGCTCTCCAGGTTGATGCAACTCAGGTTCGCAATGGCCAAATCCCACAGGGGCTGGGAGGAGGCAGCACGCTGCGGGTGAAGGTGCCAGTGCTGATGGAAGTGTGAGTCACCCATTTTCAAGCTGAGACTGAGGCATAAACGAGCTGCTGGCTCTAATGCTTGAGGGAAGCTGTGCCTGACTGGCTCTCTGGCTCTCCATGCATCGTCCTAACTCCTTGCTAGCTCCAGAGAAGGGGGAGTCTGCACTGAACCGAGCAGAGGGGCCCCTAGGACACAGAAAAGCACCCACTGACCTGTGCTTTGTAGCGCTCAGCTCTGGAGTAAGGAGCAACCTCGGTGCCACGGTCGTGTTGCCTCTTCCCGGTGTCCCCGGAGGGCAGCAGGAGATCGGCCGATCTGCCGGTGCAGGAGTCGTTCTGGCTCAGGGGCGATGACGTCTGGGACATCAAGTCCTGGCACTGAAAGAGGCAGGCACCAATAACCATCCCGGTCAGCCTGTGCCACAGCCGTGCCCTCCCCTCGCTCCCCTTTGCAGTGCCCGACACAAAGGGTGCAACGAACAGAGTTAACGGGGTCAGCTCCCGCTCTGCGGCCTCCTGCCTCAGTGTCATCCATCACACCATTTATTTTCCGCACGATTACCCCTGGTTTGCTCCAGGACGGTTTCAGGCAGGTATGCAGCCCTTTCTGTCGAGCACGCCTCCGCCTCCCGTGAGCTCATCCCAGGAGGGAAGGAGACACGCTGAGCTGTGGGCAGGGTGTTTATAGAGAACAGGCTCTGCTAGAGCACTAAGCAAAGCACTCCAAGCCACTGACTATCAGCCACCCCAGGAGAAAAGCCCTGGGAGCCCAGCAAGAGATCAGCCCAGATGCCTGACAGCCTGGCTCTTACTGCAGGCAAGATTCGCTGCCTGTACGTGCCAAGCGGCCCGGCAGACAATGCGGGAAGCTCACAGCTGCAACACGCATTAGTCCTATTCAGCGGACTTGCTTAATTTGCCATTGACGTCCTTCCGCTCCCCACGCCGGAGCCAGGCGCTGGATCGCACCAGCTGTAGCACCAGGAAATGCTGCAAATGGCCCATTCTCTTACACCGCCTCCCCGTCCAGCATATCAATCAGTTGATGCTGCACCAAAGGACTCCTCTCCCCCTGTCTTCAGTCTCATCGGTCTCAAGTGGGCGTTTCAGAGAATTGCAGATCCTCAGCTGGCTGCTGCCTGTCCGGGCTTTTGTTGGCTGAAAAGGGGGCGGTTGAGCGGCGGGGCGAAGCTGCAGGGTTTGTACGTGGCAGCCTCCCGGCTCCCGAGCACACGTTCCTGGTGCCGTACCAGCGTGAACCCTCTCTTTTTTTACACCTGAACCCCAGTTCCTAAAAAAATCCAGTGTGAGCAAGCAGGGCACAGCAGCCCAACTCGCTTCGGCTAAGACTGTTTTGGTTGAAAAGCCTTGGGAATCCAAGGCGAGAGGGAAGAGCTCTGCAGCAGGGCAAGGACCAGACGTTTGGGATGGGGAAACTCCAATCACTCCCAATTCCTGCTCCAGGAAGCTGATTTGCAAACACTGGGAGGAAGCAGCACGACACGCTCGCCCTCCGTGGCACGCCGCCCTGCTCCCGAGCTCACAGGTTAGCTGCAAGCTCAACGGGTTTTGCCAAACTCAGCTCCCAAATGTCAGTTTTCAGGAAGAACGGCGAACGTGACGGCTCCCCTCCCAGCCAACCCCGATAACGAAGGGCCTGACATCCAAAGGCTGCCACTCCCGCAGCAAAAAAATCAACATCCACAAATCACGTCGAGTGCTATTTGGCAGCGAGAGCAAGAGCTCTAGAGAAGCCCAGCCGGCCCAGGGAGACAGAGCTCAGACTCCCAGCCGGAGCAATCAAAACACAGGTCCCAGCTGCATCCCATCTCGCACTCCTGCCTGCGGGAAGGCTGCCTTACATCTGGCCAGGAAACAAGGGGAAGAAAGCCAGCTCGGTATTCCCCTTCGGTGCAGGGCACAGAGGTGGGAGTAGCGCCCTGCTACCCGTTCAGTGCAGGCACCCACCTTGCATGGAGACAGCTGATCCGAAGGAGCTGCCTGATGTTTCCCATGGGGCAGGCATCCAGAATTTGACCTGCAAGGGCTGAATGTTACCCTCCCCCGCTGATTTCAATAGCGGGGTCATGCCTGTGCGAGTGTCTGCTGCTTGGGTCGCTGGAGTTGATAAGGTGAAAAGCCGAATGGATACAACCGGCCACGTTAAGACATCTCCCAGCACTGACGTGTTCGCACACTTCAGCTCTTTTGCACAGGGAAGATGGAGTTCGACCCGCAAAGAAGAAAGCTAAGAGTTGGTAAACTCGTCCACCACTTCAGCTAGAGCGCGTCTGTCCGAACAAACGGCGACGTTTGCTGTTGTGGGGCCCAGCCACAGCAGAATTTGTACAGCGCAACGTCAAATTTGTCATTTGTTTTTACTCTGCCCAAGCGCCCCGGTTGCTCTGGCCAAGTCGGAGCCAGCCTGGCTGTTACGCTTCCCAAGTTCTGCTTGACCATGCTCGGAGTGGGAATACTGGGCTCTGCATCATCTCCAGCAGCAGCCAAGGTGCGTCCATGGGAACCGTTTAACACAAAACACTCCCTCCTCCGCACAGCCAGATGTGCAGTTGCCTCAACGCTTCAAGAACTTTCTTCCCAAACCACCAAGTATCTGAGAACCAGGAGTAACCCAAGCTCCAGGTCAAATCGGTTTAATAAGAAACAAGCCATTTAGGTTTTACCCTTTCCTTTTTTTAAAAAGGAATGCAATTTTCCAAGATCACTCTCTGTGCTTATTACTCTCGATACTTACCTTCAAAGGAGTTTTAACTTAAATATTGACGTTGTAGGGGTTTTTTTTCCCCCTTTTTTATTGATTTTGCCAGGCAGAATTTCCTGTGCATGAAAGCAACAGAGTAAGGCTGAACGTGCCTCCCTCTCTGAGCCTGGATCCCCATCCAGGACCTGAGCTCTCAGTAAACATCCTCTAGTCCCCCAGAGGTGACAGCTGCTAATCAGAAAGGGGACAATTATTCCTGACAGACCCAGGTTTAGTTCTTTGAAAGAAAGGAAGGAAAGTGAAGGAGAGCCAGGGCAGAAGAAAGCACCCCGGCCACTGCCGAGCACGCTCCGCACAGACGTATCAGCCAGGCAGGGAACACAAAGAGTGACTCACTCTCAGCTGCGAGAACCGCGGCGGCTTTGCCGGTGGCTCCTCGTACGGTCTGTCTGCCAGGGAGGCAATGATCCTCTTCCGATGGCCGAGCAGATTCACTTTCAACACCTGCAGGGAGAGACCACGGTCACTGTAGGCTTTCCTGCCCTCGGCAAAGCTTCCCCTCTTCCAGAAGTGCTGTTCCCATTTAACACGACTCCCCGCAAGTCACAGCCCCGGCGGGAACGTGGGCAGGACCTCGGTGCCGTGGCAAGAGAAAAGCAATACTCACGTTTACTATTTCAAGCTCCCAGAGGTTTTTCACAGTGTCGATAGAGCTGTAGCCACTCGAGAGGAAGGACTGAATGTAATCCTGCAGCCCCAAAGAGTCGAGCCATGCGGGAACCGAAGGCTGGCTGTTCCCATCACAGCCCAGGGGTTTCAACTGTAAAAGCACAAGAAAGGGGTTAAAAGCCTCAGGAGGCTGGGATCCCAAAGCATACAGCGTCAATTAAAAGCAGTTTAAAGGCCATCATCATCTCCACTAGCAGCTTTAAAGTAAAATAGTCACTGTATAAACAGGGAATGAGCTTGGGATCAAGACCGGCAGGAGGGACAGCCGCCCCCTCCCCAGCACAGAGTCATCCCATCCACACAGCCTGGCGGACCAATATACTCCTCCTCCTCCTTGCTATTCCCAAACCCCTTCTCACAGCCCCTACGATCCCTCCGTGGGTCACAGGGACGTGGCTGGAGTCACAGGGACTGGCTTTTGTTTCCTCTGCTTTCACAGCCGTGCTGGGCAATGCCCCGTCCCTGTTTCACGTGAGGGGTGTCGGCGCTGACCTTCGGGAGGGAGCGAGCAGCCTGGAGGAGCTTCCGACGGTGCTGCGGGTCACCGATCCCGATGTCCCGAAGGTCCTGGTCTTCCATGACATTACAGCCCTGCGGGGACAGGAAGGAGCGACATGGGAGCAGAGGGCAACAGAATCCATATCAGGTGCGGGAGCGAAGATCTCGCGTGTTACAGCACCCTCCTGACCTCACCTCCCAGCACGTCCCCGCAGCAGGAGGAGGAGGAGAAGGAGGAAGGCTCCCAAGGATGGCAGCTCTGCCCCACGTACCGACCTCGGGCACTGAGAGGGCTGACACGAGAGGGGCTGCGGCACACACAGCAGCGGTGGGGCAGAACACTGCCACCCCCTCCCTCCCGCATCCTCTTCCAGCCGTTGGATTTCAGGCCATCACTTACAGCAACCTTCCTGTCTGATGCACAGATGCTTTAATCGCCGCGTAACAACGCCCAAGTAAACCCCAGCCCCCCTCCACACATGGTGCCTGAGAAGGGGCACTCGGCTCTGCTCAGCCTCCCTCCACGGCCACAGAGAAATCGGAATTTCTTTCCACGAGAGCAGGCAACCTGGCAAAGGTCCGATTCGTCCTCCGTCCCCCGAGCAGGGAGGCAGCCCACCCCACTCCGGCAGAGACGCCCTGGTCGCCGCACACCGCTCTGTTAAAGCCCATTTTCTGCCCCCCTTCCCCCTGCAGAGCAAGAGCGGACGCACGCAGAGCACGCTGACTTTACCCCCCTCTTAAGAACCTCCATCACAGCCTGCTTCCCTGCCCCTCGTACCTGGGGAGAGCTCAGCAGGAAGCCCGGGCACGTCTCCCCATGGCTGGAAGAGCCACGCTGCTGTTTGACCAAGGGCTTCGGCTGGAGCTCGGACCCCCCCCTCCCCAGACTTGCCTCCCTCTGCTCTCGGGAGAGTCACAGCTGAAGGTCTGAGCTGACAGCGCTTCGCTGTTCCACATTTTGGTTTTATAAGAGAAACCTAATTAAAATTGGCTGTCGGGCAATACGCTGCTGCAGGGACATGCGGGCTGCGGGAACAGCGGGCTGAACGGCCAGGGCTTCAGGAGGGAAAGGCGAGGGGAAGATTGCCAAGTATCCTCTTTAAAGGGCAGCAAATGTTTTATATTCCTTCCCACCCCGCGCTTTCTGTAGCATCTCAGCTCGTATGTTTTGCTAAGTACTACCTGCTTTAAATACAACAGCCAAACGTGAAAGCAGTGAGCTGCTCCCTGAGCAGCCGACCCACCTGAGCGGGCCCCCGCGGGGGCGATGCTGCCTCCTGCAAGGGCAGAGGAGGAGGAACAGCCCTTCCTGCCGCCCCTTCCACTCTCAGATGTTCCCGGACAAGCACACGGGCCCGTTTGCAGCCAGGGCGGCCCGTGGGGAGAGCTCGCCTCTGGCGATGGCTTTATAAGAGTCACCGGATGCATTTCACGGAGCCAGATGCCAGTCCCGCAGCCAAACGCCGGCCGGCTCGCTCCCGGCAATGCCAGCATCCGCCTTGCTCCTGACTTGCTTGGTTTGTGCCTGGTCTACGACAGCACCAAGCCCGGGCAGCATCGCTCCCACCACTTCTGTGGCCTGGTGTGATCACTGCTGGGTAGGACGCCACGCGGCTCTCCGCCCCCGAGAGCTGCTCTTCCCCTCAGCCGCAGAGATAAGTGTTCAGAGAAACAGAGAATTAACGCTGCAGATGAGAGATGCCCGAAGCAACGTTGCTGGGAGAGCTGCCCTCAGAGGCCAGACTGCAGAGAAACCATTTTTTAGCAAATGACAGTGGCAAATTAAAGCAGTGGGTGGCGGGGAAGCAGGGCCCTGCGGACACTCCGTGACCGTCAGCACCCACAGCACCGAGGCGGAGGCTCCTCTGCCTCCATCCTCCCTTGGCAGGCAGGGATGCCCGATGCCCTCAATTCCTGGCAGGCCCGGGGCGGGGGGGACCGAGACCGCAGATCTGGAGCAGACAGCCGCAGTACAAAAGCATTTGTCTAAGAGTTGTTTAAACAGCAGAAAGAGCCGGGACTAAAGACCCTGCAGCCTATTAGGGTGGTTCGCTCCCTATTTTCCAAAACGTCAGTTTATACCAGCGCCGGTCTGCAATGCCACTGCCAGCTGGAAAGAGCTACTGCCACTGCTCGAGACAGCACCGTGGGTGGGCGGCAGCTCTGCAGGGGCACGGGGCCACACCGATACCTGCCTTGACTTTCTTGGCTTGCACCCCGCATCCTGCAAGCGGGGCCACGTGAAACCCCTGGGTCTCACCTGAGCGGTAATGCTACACACAAAGCTCTGTGCAAGGATGTAACTATGTCATAGAAGCTGTTCTGTGCATCCCTCAATTGCACAAAATAAATTAAAAAAAAAAAAAAAAAGGCTTTTTGTTGGTTGGAAGCTCCGAGGGTGCCCAGTTGGTGCAAGAGCAGCAGCAGGCTCCGTCACATCGAGAGCAAACCCCCTACGAGAGTACAGCGGAGAGGCTGCCGTTGTCAGAGGCAGTGATCACTCTGGCCTGTTAGCAGCAGCATCCCACCAAAAACCATGAAAACATCCCTCCCCTTTCTTGCTCACAAATTTTAAGCCAAAGAGCCACACTTAACCTGCGTTCCTGTAACAGCGGGAGATTGTGTGCTCAGCTCAGGGGAAGAGGGAAAGGATCAAAGGCAGCTTAACCCCCCTGACACGCACCTTACCTGGCACAAGCGTTTTTGCACGCTACAGCTCTGCTACAGGGGTTGCCAGAAGGTCCTCGGGAGGCAGCATATGTGCGAGGAATTCATCTCCCAGAGGGAGATGGTTTTTAAAGGGCTTTTTTTAAACGGACAGAAGAGGGCTAAAGCAAGTGAGGGGACTTCCCCTGCAAGCCTGGAGAGGAAAGCGCAGAGAGCCCTGCCTGGGGGAGGCAAAGGGAAGCACAGGAAGGGACTGACCCACCGATGTCCCTGCAGCAGGTTAACGTCACACCTCGGGTACCTGAAACCTGCCGTTCCCGACACCTCAGCCCCCTCTGCTCCCCCAACCTGCCCATCTTGGTGCTCTGCTGCTTAATTCCTCTGTAAAGAGCTGGGTGCCAGAGCTGCAGCAGGCGCGGGGGCTCGAGGAGGATGCTAGCAAGGGCACGGCTCACAGCAAACCCTTCACGCACCAGGACGGCAAGAACGGTTCGCAGCCAAATGAGTTGTGACAATGGTGATGTGTAATTTTCACGTATAAAAATTAAACGAGCTTGCTGATCCTCTTTACATTTTTACTCATGCTTATTTTCCAGTGTTGAGCCTTTTTGCTGCTAATCCACTTTAGCACAGCCATGTCTGGCTAGCACAGCCACACTCCCAAACTAGCAGCACAGGGCTGGCAGCTCACGCTCTCCCAGGGTGCCTGTTTTATGCTGACACGGCCAGCGCCAGGCCCAAGGCAAGGCAAGGCAATAGGTGTTCTCCCACTTTTGGCACCTCAAATTCAAGGAAAATTGCTTGCTATGTAGCAAGGATGCAAGCTAGTTAAATACTGTAAAGCCTACTGTACAGCTTTCTCCAACACTCCTTATTTTTATGTGTCACATTAAATTCCCTCAGAGCCAGTCTGTATTCTCAAGGTACTTAACAAGGATAGACAAAGCATAGCAGCTCCGAATAAATCATTACAGTCTATTTTATGTGAGCCTCCGCTTACCGAAACGTCCTTTAAGCCCATCCAGATTTCACCTCCTATGAAAAAAAAAAAATCTGCCACTAAAATAGATAATTAAATGCAAACACACTGGAGATCTTTTAACCTTTGCCAACCGAATAGACGAGCTGTTTGAACCAGACTTTAAACCTGTTTGCTTTAACACGCTGTTCAGACAAAAGCCAAGGGGCAGAGGTGCTCCGCCTGGGCCACCGCTGCCACCTGCCCCCGAGCCACGCTCCTCCGGCGCAGCAATTGCCGCAGGTTTAGGTTAGTGCCCTGCTCTCTGCTCGGGCTCCTGCGCCTGCCAAACCACCTCTCTGCTCAACCAGCAACTAATGACTTAGCACAAAAAGCCCCCTAAGCAAAGAGGGTTCCCAGCCACGGAGACCCAGCTGGGGTCTGCCGCGGCTTTCGTCCTTCCCTGCCTCTCCCGGCACGTCTCGCTTGCTTCTCACCGCCAGCCCCATCCTTCCCGACCTCCGCACCGCTGGCTCGCGCCAGGCCAGCGGGCCGCTGAAGGGCCTTAGTTTCGTCCCTGAACCAGGGCAAGAGCCGTTTCTTTGCTCTACCGAGGAGGGGATGACCGCAGACACGTCCACACCCAGCAGCTCGCGGAGGAAAAGGGAACAAGGCATTCATCACCGAGATGAGACAAAGCCTCTTCGCTACAAAGGGCTGCTCAAAGGGAGCCTGCCTTGACGTGGGGCTGCAAAATTTCAGAAAAAACTGCTGTGAGGGTTTGTGAGGGTTTTCTGGGGGAGTTTGGTTTTGATTTTTAAACAATATCCCAATACAGGTTTTTGTTTGCTCGTTTTTAGCTTTTTTTCCTTGGGTTTTTTGTTGTTGTTTTTTTTTTTTTTTTTTTAAACAAAGGTCCCCTTTGGTGCTGACACAGGTTGGCAACCAGGTCAAAAGATGCCATCTCCCACGCGCCCTGCTGAAGGCTGCAGAGCAGTCCTGGCAGCCTGACCCCAGGCTCGCCGTCAGCCCCTCGCTGGGTCCTCCGAGGACAGCTTCAGCAAACGCCCGAGGCAGGGGAGAGGAAAGCTCCCAGGGACTCGCTCTGCTGTTAGCCTGGTCCTCTAGGATCCTCCAGCAGCAGCCTCAGAAATGCCAATTAGAATCAAAGAGACTTTCCAAAGACGTATTTCAGACTTTATTTATTGTGACAAGTGCTTTCTACCTTGCGCATTTCTCCCGGCTGCGGGGCTGAACGGACCGAGCGCAGCTCAGGGCTGCACCCGGGCCAGACCTCTCGCATTCATCCACGCCGGGGGAGCGGGGGACATCCGAAAGCCCCGTTCATCCCAACACCTCACCGTTTTCTCCTCGCTTCCATCAGGAACTAGGGCTCAGCATTTCCTGCACTGCAGGTGGCTCGTTCAGGGTTTGTTCCTAGAACACACATCCTTGCGTTAATCCA